GTACTCTTCATTAATGAAGACCTGATCCAGTAGGCTGTAGTCCACCATGGATTTTGGGGTTTTTTTGTTTTGGTGGGGTTTTGTGGTGTGTTTTTTTTAAAAACAAATGCATCTACTTAGAAAAGGATGAAAGATTGTTGCAAGTCTTGCACTAAGCAAAAGATTAAGGATTCGCAACATTTCATTATGAAAAAAGCAGGTCACAGAAAGCCATTCAAAAAAAAAAAAAAAAAAATCACACTGCAAATCCAAACATAAGAAAATGCAAATCAACTTACTTGGAAACAAGAGAGAAAGCTGCTGAACAGATTGCCGGGCAGGGAACAAGTCTGATTAAGATGTGGCCCAAAGCGGCAGGGAAATGGGCTCGGGTCACTTTCTCGACCACAGAACTGAAGGTGTTGACATCTGCCAGCTTGCTGCTGTGGTCCCCACCTCCAGTGTCTAAGATGTTTCCCCCATGTAGGATCAAAATTAACACATGAGTTTTGCAGTTCTGGCGTTGAACTCCTTCCTGTGAGAAAAACAGGGAGTAAGAAGGGAGGAAGCTTTTATGGACAGTGTTGGTATACTTGGTGGTAACATTTACAAGCAGTTAGCAGTGATTTTTTTCTCCCATCCCCACTGTGATCTTTTTGTGGTATTTGCCTTCATTGGGGGTGTATGTGTGTGTACACATGTGTGTGGTGGGTGGGTGGGGTGTGTGTGCCATGTGTGTGTGTCCTGTGTTCCATTTAATTCAAGTATGTCTGAACCAGGTAGAGCACACTATGCTCTGCCAGAAAACCCTTGCAGCACAGATGTAGGTTTCAGATCAATAAAGATTGTTGTGTGTACATTAAAACCTATTTTAAATATATTGAGACTGGAGAAGAATTCCAACATACACAGACAGCCTAAGCGAACATCTGTCTAGGTATTATTAAAGAGGCCGCTGCATTTACTGGAAAGGTAGTAATTCAAATTACCACAGGTTCTAAAAACCCAAATTTCTCTGCCAATGAAAACATCCAGCATAAGCAGATGATACAGATATGTCAGCCTTTTGAGGCTGGCAACTTATCAAAATGAAAAATGGGGCTAACTTACCCAGACATTTACTGAAAGAGTAAAAAATGTATCAATGCTGATATCCATAAACCTCACAAATACATTTATAAATATGTGAATACATGCATACACAGACAATAAACAGTGTGCTCCACAGAATAAACAAGATGTTATCTACTTGAGTCTGGAAAAACATTTTGAATGTCTCACAACTCCACTTTTTTTTTTTTTCTTCTTCTTTACCCCTTGAGAGTTATGTGCACTCAAAGAACAACTCAGTAATACATTAAAAGATTAGGAGAGTCTTTGTTTTTAAATCTGGACTGACATTTTCTTCTTCATTTTGGATCACATGATTCCTGGAGACTTCCAGTTCCTGACCGAATATGAACACACAATAAAAACAGCAGTAACATAACTTGTATTTGTCTGAGGATTATTAATTCCTAGATTGGGTGATTTACTGAGAATCAGGCAATGTTCTGGACACTTTATTCTTAAATTGTGGAATGAAAGCCATAGTCTTCAACAGTAAATATAAAATGAGAAGAATTGCTCTGAGTTTAACAAGAATAACATTAACCAGAAAAGCTGACGAGTAAACAAACACGCTCGCATTTCAGGCTGTAGTTTAGTGAGGGGTACGGGTGGAAATGTTCTTGACATGAGTAAAACAAAGAAATTAGTAACTTTAGCACCTGTATAATGGTGACAGAGAAATGGTTGCAAGTGAGAGAATTTTAAGTTGTTCCATAAAGTCACTACCTCTGTTCAGCCCACGATTTTTAGTATCCAGTAGAAGCATTCATTGTGAAGGCATTTTGCTGACCTGCCTTGTATCTGCTTAAGTACCGGATCTTCTAAGAATTTTTAAGGTTCCACTTTTCCTTGCTCTAATTTACAATTTCCCTCTCCATATGGTCCCATTCCAGTTATTAAGAAGAGAAATCTAATTCCCTTTAAAAGCTAAGAATAGCTCCTTCCACAGCCAATGCCAGCTTGTAAGTAAGTGGCACTGCTGATGGGTTGGCGGAACTGAAAGCTTCAAAACAGAGGGAAAAATTCAAGTGGGTCAACATTGCTAAAGTCACCGTCACAAAAAGTCACTCAGCTGGATTTAATTCGTATCTTTCACAGGAGGACTCAAAGGGAATTAAATGAATTTATCTCTCAGCAGTAGTTCAGCCATGACTGAGACAAGGGGCTCAAAAGGGCTAATCAGAAGGACATCTGAAGTCAATCAAAGACTGCCATAATTTTCAGGGAGCTGTAGGATTGGAATTCTTCAAGAATGGGAAAGTAGATGTTTCTGTTGCCTGTCCTATGTGTGGACAGAGGACTGTAATCAGTTAACTGGAAGGAACACAACTTGTTTAGATACTTTGCTGCTTCTAAAAAACCCAATTCTGTTACTATCAATTTCATGACTGCTGCTGAATTTGCTTCACAAAACCTGCATTTCCACTGAAGTACTAAGTAGACATAACAATTTCTCTTCAGAGAACGGGGTCATATTTCCACCTAAGTTAATTATGCAATGTCTAAAAAGCTTGTGATGATTTTCAGCGACTGCATTGAACAAAGGAAAGACACACTAAGCCACCAAACAGGTTTATAATTCTGTAATACGAGAGTATTTCTACATGTCTATTCCTTGGAAGTCAGCAGAGCTTGTTTTGCTAACAATCTCACCTCACTGTCCTCATGTATTTCAATACTGCCTTGTGCCTGGAACCTTTGTTTTCTTGAAGAGGCTCTACATAATTCACCTGAAAGGAAAAGAGACATAATTGATCATATAAACACTTGGCTGCCTCATCTTTTACAGAGATCTATGGAGGTAAGGCACATTTCTGATTAAGACAGAAAGATCTGCTCACAGGAAATCCTGTGGACAAACAGAACAATAGAAAAGGTTTCTTGCAGCCCTACATATTAGAGGCTCTTCTATTCTTAACAGCAACATTTAAAACAGGATTCAGGTCCTCATACAGAGGTGCGTAGTACCCGTACAGCTGCTGTTGGTCATCTGTGCCTTTCTGAAGCAGCAGTGTAAGAGGTCATCCGAGGTTCTGCATCATCTCTGCTTGTCCAACATAGATATCTTAGACACTCTGGTATGTCTTAAATGGCACTAAACACCTATATATAGGTAAATTAATTAGGTCATTAAAGTTCTCCAAGGACTGTCAGGGTCCAACTCTTTCACGAACCTCTGTGACCACCTGGGAAACACCCAGAAGTAACTGCAGTGCTCCATTACCAGGATGCAAAATAGGAGTAACAGATCATAGACCAAAAGACAGTTTCTCCTCAAAAAAACATGTTACCTGAATAATAGGAAGTGACATTGCAGAGAAACACAGTACTTTGCTAACACCTTTTCACAATAGGATTATGCATGCAACATCCTCTGTTATAAACACAACAATGAAAGTCTCTGCATTGACTTCAGAGCATGACCAAACAGATCCAAAGATCATAGAATCACAGAATGGTTTG